CATCGTAGCCAAAAGCACAGGGGATAATAAACTACGTACGGATTTTTATTGAGCACTACTTCCTATGTGCAACTTCAAAAGTTTTGGGTAGTTCGACGATCATTTAAGGTTTTTCTGGTCATATTTTTTGTATTCCAGAAATAAAAGTATTAAAAAAATGTCCAATTAGTTATAAATAACATAAATAGACAAGAAGTTTGGAAATTTTTTGTGCAGATTGGAAATTTGTCTGGAATTTTAGAAAAAATTGTGAAAAAAAAATCTGGAATTCCAATGTCTTCCATAGGGGGGGATGGATTATTTCTGGAATAGCCCAATAGCCAGCTAGATAATAACAATGGCACGTATTTCAGCATTTATTGGGTAGAACACAAATCTAGGGTGCTCGCATAAGGCAGCTTAACTGCCTAAAAATCTTTGTTTCCCCACACCCCTACCCTAAGATTACCTGGGTAGGTAGGTAGGTATTGTTTTTTTTTAATGTATTTTTCAGACATATATGTATATATAGAAAACATTATGCATGAAAAATTGGCAACTACATTCAGGGTACTCCTTTTTTCTGTTGACGCTATTCATCAAGCTCTGTGTTCACCTTAAGTGTGAATTGTAACCTGTTATTGAGAAGCAACTTTGTACATTTTGATAACTACCGTATTACTTCTACTTCTACTTCTACCATATAGTGACCGCCTTCAACAAATTGAAGATTATGTCACAGGAGGAAACTTACAACAAGACATAGATTGATATATATATATACAATCTTTAAAAAAAAACGAAAAAATTAAAAAAAAAAAAAAAAAAAAAAAAAAAAAATGCTTTGTATAATTAAGTATGATGTAATAGATGAGTTAATATTGATGCTTTGAAATTGAAGATTTGAAAGAGTCTACTGAAGTGCAATTTACAATGTTGTCCGGTAGTTTGTTCCAGTCGGTAATAGTTCTTGGAAAGCAGGATTCTTTTCTGTACTGTGTTTTGCAGGATGAAATTTGGAAGGTGTTCGAATTTGAATGTCTTGTTTGTCTTTTTTGTGGGATTAATTTATTATTTTTAGGTATTGCAACCTTTTCGTGTTCAATTTTATAAAGCATTACCAATCTTGAGTCTTTTCTTCTGTCAGAGAGGCTGCGCCATTCAAGATGTTGTAACATGTTACCAACGCTTGAGGTGTTTCTGTATTTGTTGGTAACAAGACCCGCAGCCCTCCTTTGAACTTTTTCAATGCTATCTATGTCTTGTTGTAAGTATGGATCCCAAACAGAGCAAGCATACTCTAGTGATGGTCTTACTAGGGACTTATATGCTTGCTCTTTAATTGATGTTGAGCTTATGTTCAGGTTCCTCCTTAGAAAGCCTAGGGTGCTATTAGCTTTCTTGCATATGTTATTTATGTGCAGTCAGGGGACTTACTTAAATGAGTGATTTTCTAAATCACTGATTCAAGAAACATTATGTCCATAAAGGTTGGAAGTAAGAGTTGTCTTTCTTTAATAATCACCTATTTAAGTAGTACAAATTAATCACTAGACTAAGTGATTTAATTTTATTGTAGCTTTAAATATAGAATACTAATGATCCAGGGACTAATTATGTTGCTAAAATTATCAGAACCAACATGTGTGTTGATAGGATGACCTGGTCATGTCAGGTGATGACCTTGTACTAAATCTAAGATAATGACATAAAAATCACTTGTTTAAGTATCATACCTCAATTTCCTTCCAAAAAATCACTTCTTTAAGTATCATTATTTTAATAACCCCCACTATATTCAACACCCCCGAACAGTGAAATTTTGATCGCGAACAGTAGAATTTTATTACATAATCTATGAGATGAAACCTTGAATTTTACAGGAAAAATACTCCCACTATTGGGAAAAATCTGTGAAGAAAGTATCAGTTCATTATGTAAAGCCATATTTATAGCATTTTTTCAACTAAAATAGAATTTGCAGCTAAATGATTGCATCAAAGGCATAAACCTTGCTGCTTAAAAGAAGCAAAAAGTTCATTTTTTTCAATTTTACTAATGAAAAGATATTATCTAAACCTATGTGTTTAAAATTTTGGTAAAACTACAAAATCACAATTTGTGACAAAACTTCGAATTTGCTACTTAAATAAGTGATTTAAAAATCACTTATTTCAATAAGTCTCCTGACTGATGTGCCATCCCATTTAAGGTTGGAACTGATGGTAACCCCCAGATATTTTGCTGTTGTTACATGTTCTAATGAGTGATTGTGTAATGTGTAGTTAAATTTGATTGGTTTTTTATTTCTGGTGACTGAAATTACATAACACTTATCTGGGTGGAATGCCATTTTCCACATAGTTTCCCACGATGCCAGTTTGTCAAGATCTTTTTGTAATGTGGATGCTTCGGAATTTGATTTTATTGCCAAATACACTATTGTGTCGTCTGTAAATAAACATACTGTAGATGTAAGACCAGTTGGAATGTCGTTAATATAATACAGGAAGAGACTTGGTCCAAGAACTGACCCCTGTGGAACCCCTGACTCAACTGCAACGTACTCAGATTTTTCCCCCTCTAGAACTACTGCCTGTTTACGATTGCTTAGAAAATTTTGTATCCAGTAATTTAATTCCCCCTGTATCCCGTAATGGTGAAGCTTATTAGTTAGAAGAGAATGTGAAACTTTATCGAATGCTTTAGAAAAATCCATGACCAAAATATCTGTTTGTTTACCATTTTCCATGTTAAGTGAGACATCATCTATAAATTCAAGTAGTTGTGTTTCGCAGGATCAACATCTGCGAAATCCATGCTGTAGGGGATATAAAATGTTGTGATTATCTGCATGTGTCATGATGTGTTTAACTACTATGTGTTCTAAAAGTTTGCAACAAATACATGTGAGAGATATAGGGCGGTAGTTTTCAGGGTTATATTTTATATATATATACTTTAATATCATTAAGTCAAAGTTTCTGAGACTAGTTTCGTCAGATGTTTTTGGATTGTAGAAAGAGCTTAAGTACAATGTTTTCGAACCAACAATGTCTACTTTTGCCCAGACCATTTCTGTTTTGTCCGGGGGTGCAAGTTCATATACCTCAGAGCTAATAAGTTCTTTCTTTATAGCTATAAGAACACCACCACCTTCTTTGTCTGTTTCTGTCTTTTTTCTGTCATTTCTGTACAATTTGAAATTGTCAGGAAATATTTCGACATCTTTTATTTTTGGGTTTAGCCAAGTTTCTGTGCCAAATATTATGTCAGGCTTTGTGCTGTCAATGATGTTATTTACTAGGTGTTGCTTGTTTTTAATTGACTGAAAGTTGATATTAAGTACTCTCAAAGGCTTTTTAAAAGATGACACCCAAGTTTTTTTACGTATGGGTGTAGATGCATGAAGAGGCTTGATGTTTTGATTCTGATAATCTGGACTTGATGGAGAATTTGAGTGATTGATGTCACCAATATAAAGGCTTGCAAATGGATTCGGTGAGTCAAGACTATGTAGTACCGTGCTGTAGTTTGGTTTGTCACAGATAATGCAGTGCCAGCTTATCATCATGATCATGCTGTCATTAAGATCTTCATAACTTTTTGAGTGGATACCTTGGCAATTGATATGAAACCACTGATCACATGTCTCACATACAATGCCTTTGTGGTCCCAGTTAACTGACTGATCACAAGTACCACATAAATATTTTGTGCTGTCGTTATTAGGGCCAGGATTTGTCTGGATATCATTCGACTTTACGATCATGAGTAAGAGGAAAAATAAGAGCATTTTAGATGGTTTTAATTTTTTTCCATCTAGGATCTTGCTTTGCCATCTTGTATATATGGTGTTCTGAATACTAAAATAAACATGCATGTTATGAAGGTATTTAAGATTGGATGTTATTTCAAACATGAATGATAAACTACAATGAAACTGATTATGTAGGTTCTCAATAACTACACAGGTGACTGTATTCATATGCGTCATAGCAGTGTTTCTGTTAATGCCGTTGGTCGAAATTGAACACTCGTTTACATTTGGTATTTTCTCATTTTCAACTACATTTGGATGTTTTTTTTCTATAAATATAGTAACTATGATAACAAAGTAGTACAAGCTTGTCAACATGTTCATGGTGTAATACAAGTGACTTACCAATATGTGATGGCCCTGGACCGGTGCTCTGGACTAGGGCTTTGTAATGTTATGGGCCGATGAATAGTTATCTTCTGTCCCTATTGCTGACCTAGGGCTCGGATGATGGAATGATGAGCAATGTTAGTGTGCAACTATGATATTTCAGTGCAAGGTGTCAAAAAAATGATGATGGGCCAGTCTGTGGACTGTTTTTGTTTACACCGGAAGTCAATGAAAACACAATTATAAACAACAAATCATGTGACAATTTCGGCGGTAAATTTTGAGAACACTTTGATATTCTACAAATAGTCAAAATGTATTTTTTTGTAAGACTGAGCTATGAAATCAATAGTAGAAATACTTCTAAAAGTTCTATTTGGTTCAAATTGTGAAAAAATGATCAATTAAACAACGAAATTCGAGAATTTTTTTTCTCGGAGCTCAGAACAGCTGATCTAGACTTGAAACATGCGCCTCCTCTGTTACAAATTGCATACAAAACATTCTCGTATATAACTGTATAATTGTGAAGTTTATTAGTAACAGTAACATCAACATGATGAAGAGAGGGTTTTTTTTGCAATTGACCATACCTGTCAACCTCTGAAAGTGAAAATGTAGATAATGGATGGAAATGAAATAATATCAACTAATCAAAAGACAACATCAAACAACATCACGTTTCCAAAAAAAATTCTGAACTAAAATATTATTACTTTTCACCTACAGCATGGCAGGCTTTGAAATCTGGTATAACTTCAAAAAGGGAAATTGTAGAGTGGAACTGTTAAGTGACATATATATATAGTGTGCAAAACCGACGTGCAGATTGCGGCATCACTCGTTTGATAGACATTAATTATTGACTTACTGCATTTTGCTGTTTTGATGATCTAAAAGATGAAGTGTTTGTTTTCATTTTTCTTGGTGATAATGGTGACTGAGAGCTGTCCCTCTTTTTAGACATGTTGATTTGATCTTGTCCTGTTACCAAAAAAAAAGTAGGGAATCATAAGTAAGGGGAAAGGAAATCAATAATGCTATTCTTTTTCTTTTCTCTATATGAGCCTCCTTTATAAGGAACACCAAGGATAAATCAAGGTAAAAATCTATCTATGTACACGGTAAAAGTTATTTCACTCGATAAAAGGAAACATTCAGTTAATATGAATATTTTTTTTTATTATTCCAATCAAGGGCCCTTGATGGGCAGCATAACATATACACATAAAACAATACATCATGATTTGTAACAGAAAAACATTTTTATATATTAAAATGAAACATTAAAAAATTCAGACAGATGTTATTATCTTCATTCTATAAAAATCACATACATTTAATTCCAGGCAGGATCATAACTATAAAATCATTACAATTATCATTGTTATTACATACATTAATTAACATTTCGTCTAACATCTAGACATGTAATAATATAGCTCCCTAAATATGTCAAATATTTAAGAATAGACAAATTTTCATTAGTAAATAACCAAACAAATTTTGCCTCATTTGAAAGATATATAAAATATAATATATACACTTTTTTAAATACAAACAAAATACTATATATATATATATATATATATATATAAATCATGCATACAAGGCAGGGGCGGACCCAGAACCTCTATGTCTCGGGTGGGGGCACTAATTGATATTAATATGCGAGTGTGGGTAGTGATGGTGGTGGTGGGATGAGTGTCAGATAATCGTTTCTATATTCTATATCTTTTTATTTTTTTACCATTTCACTCTATTCTATATTCTTCTGTCAATTGATCTCTATTACATTCGTCCTTAACATGCATGAAATATTTGCCACTGGACGTTAAGCAACCAACAATCAATCAATCTATTCTTTCTATTTCATCACCTCTTTATTCTGTTATCTTTTTTGTTTGGTCCCGCTCCTAATCTAATTATAACTTGTTTACCCATTATTCTCTTATCTGTAAATCCCATTCATATCCTCATAAATGGTGACCCATTCATAGCCTCATACAATGTAATTGAAACAAGAAAATATACATATATTGCTGTAACTATATTGCCTGGACTAATAGATACATGTATTAATCCCAGATTATGTTATAAAGTAGGTCTTATAAAAATACAATCGAATTTTATTAATGATTATATTATATATTAGACAATGCCAATTTATTTTTTGTGTAAAGGGAGGGGGCAATGTTTTGTTTTAAACAACTTGTTGGTATCTTGTATGATATTGAACAAAATAGTTTGTTGTTGAATAAAGTCACCGTCGCCAAAAAGACAGATTCGAGAAAAGAATACATTCACAAGAAATGGTAATGTGAGTATTTGTTATGAAGACCTATCCCATATATCGATACCAAGTTCTTGACACTAAACATCTATTTGTACCTATGCTTTAAAAACAAAGATTTTAGTTGGTAATTTCTTTCCTGATCAGAAAATTTCACCTGTTAATCGATCTTAATCTGTAATATTGTATTAAAAACAATAAAAATATTCGTACTTTTCTCAATCAACATGTACATGACCAATTGTAAAAACAGGAGTAAACATAAATTTGGAAAATCTCTTGGAATCTGTCTCAGAAACAGCTTCCTTGAGACCTCGAAGGAAATGATGTCTTCTTATTTACACATGTTACATGATTAAGGCAAATAAAGTACAAATTGATATAGGAAGATGTGGTATGAGTGCCAATGAAACAACTCTCCATCCAAGTAACAATTTATAAAAGTAAACCATTATAGGTCAAGGCACGGCCTTCAACACGGAGCATTGGCTCACACCGAACAGCAAGCTATAAAGGGCCCCAAAAATTACTAGTGTAAAACCATTCAAACGGGAAAACCAACGGTCTTATCTTTATAAAAACGAGAAACGAGAAACACGTATGAACTACATGTACAGATTTCGAATTCAAATCCTCCTTTGTTAGAGAGACTATTTATCCTATACCCATACTGATGATCGTAAAATTCTTACAAAATTGAGATTGAGTGATCATAAATTAAGAATTGAAACTGGCTGTCATGAACGCATGTTGAACTCTTTGGGTAAATGTATTCTAAGATGTGAAAACTTTATAAATATTTCAATTTGAACGAGATTGAGGACGAGCTCCATTTTGTATTTGAATGTCCTTTATATTCAGCACTAAGAAATGTTTTACTTGATAGTCTATATTATCAAATATTGAAAAATATTTTGAGAATACTAAATTTAGCTGAATTGTTCGGATTGCGTCAAATGACGACAAAAGCTTTATAACATTTTTATGCAAATACCTGACCATAACTTTTGAAACTAGAAAACTAAAAATCTGAAAAAAAAATATCTCCCCATTACGCCACCTATTTTTTACAATCGTAAAAATGGAAGCCATCGTTGGGATGACGCGCTGTCAATTTAGCTCTTGAAAACCGATAAATGTATCCACATAGCATCTTTACGATCCTTATACGCCAGTTGTATTCTAATAATAGCTATTGAGCATCATTTAATGTACTTTGTATGCATTTAGTCAACTTAAAACTTATTGTTTGATATGAAATAAAGAGTTAAATTTCTTTTGTTTAATTTGAAAGTTGTGTTCGAATTAACAAATTTTTATTAAATGTACTTGACGATAGACTTTACAAGTGGATCTTAAAAATGGCAACTTAAAAAAAAACAACTCATTTTTGCGTGTGTAGTATCTACAGTTATTAGTATTCAACCTCGGGAAATTATTAGTCTGCTCGTCCACGAAATATTTAATTAGAATTTTTTAAAAAGTTTTTGGACTTTCGAAAATTTCCCTTGACAACCGACCAGACAACAGTTTTATAGGCGGAAACCCAGTTGAAATTAATCAAAAGAAATGGAACTCTTTGATAGAGAAGGTAAAAAAGCAAAATTGGTATATTTGAATTGTGTACATCTGTTTCTATGGGCTTTAAAAGTTTAATAAAGTGTATGATTTAGGATTTTATGCATCTTATATACGTGCTTTTACTTGAATTATAGTATGGAACTTCGAGATGTTTGTAAACTTTTAAATTATAGACAAATGTTCATAAAACAGTCGATTGGGTCAGGTTCAAATCCAAGTGGATCTTTTTTGTGCATAAGCATAAATTTCGCAGAAAAAAAATCCACTGAAAGATAATAGATTGATCTTTCTAAAGCCTTAATTTGCATCTCTGACCTCGGCGACAGTTTTTTTGGAAAATTTTTAAAAATGGGCAACAATTGCATCGAAATGAGAAAGTCGAGTGCACCTTTTTATGTTAGGGTGTGTTTGAGTTGACTATTCTGTCTAGAAAATGTATAAAGCAAAAATGTTTGATACATCATCTCGCTTCAGATTCTATTATTTTTATATATTAAGGCTACAGATTGATTTTATAACATTAAAAATTCACAGTACTAAAAAGTGAAATATATGGGTCAAGTGAAATACCTTTCTAATGAGTCATAACAACAGAGTAGGTGTGTTCGAATAACAAATTTTTACTACAGACTTTTCAACTGGATCTTAAAAATGCATAACTTCATAAAAACTTCACTTTTTGTGTGTGTTCTCTAGGGTTATTAGTCTTCAACCTCTGAAAATGTTTAGACTGCCCTTCCGCGCAATATTTAATTAGAATTTTTATAAATGTTAATGAACTTTCGAAAATTCCACCTGACAACCGATCAAAAAATAGTTATAAGTTGACCGAATGCAGAAAAGTACATAACATGATGCTCTATAGCTAGTAGATACATTTGTCTTTTAGAATACAACTGGCATATAAGGATCGTAATGGTGCTATGTGGATAAATTTATCGGTTTTCAAGAGCTAAATTGGCAGCGCGTCATCCCTACAATGGCTTCCAATTTTACGATTGTAAAAATTAACTGGCGTAATGGGGAGATAATTTTGACGAAGTAGAATTCTGACTGTTAAGTTGACTTAATGCATAAAAAGTACATTAAATGATGCTCAATAGCTAGTAGATACATTTTGTCTTATATAATACAACTGGCGTATAAGGATCGTAATGATGATATGTCTTTGAATAAATTAATTGGTTTTCAAGAGCTAAATTGAGAGCGCGTTTTTTTTTCTTCATTTTTTCGATTGAAAAAATTAGGTGGCGTAATGGGGGAGATAATTTTGACGAAATAAAATCCTGATTGAAAGGTATATATGTCACTTGACCCATATATTTCATTTTTCAGTACTGTGAATTTTTAATGTTATTTTATCAACCTGTAACCAACATATATAAAAATAATAGAATATGAAGTGAGATGGTATATCAAATATTTTTGCTTTATACGTTTTCATGACAGATTTATCAACTAAAAAACGCGTGAACATAAAAAAGGTGTACTCGACTTTCTCTTTTGGAAGAAATTATTGTCCATTTTAAGGATTTCTTTAAAAAAATTGTCGCCGGGGTAGAGATTGAAATTAATGCTTTAAAAGATCAATCTATTATCTTTTTGTGGATTTTTTATCGGCGGAATTTATTCTTATGCACAAAAAAGATCCACATGTATTTGCACTTACCATAATGGACTATTTTGTGAAAATTTGTCTATAATTTAAAACTTTACAAATATCTCGAAGCTCCATACTATGATTTAAGTAAAAACACGTATATAAGATGCATAAAATCCAAAATTATTCACCTTCATCAATATTTTAAAGCCTATAGAAACAGATGTAAACAATATAAATATACCAACTGGGCCTTTTTCACATTTTCTAATAAAGTGTTCCATTTCTTTTACCATAGCTTAGAACAAATATCAGAGATTCCTGTTTGGACGAATAATTCGTTTGATAAATAACAAGAAGTTAAAACATGAGTATTTGTATATTCTAACATTGCTATTCTAAAAATAAAAGACACAGTTTTGTTTACATCTTTCGCATATAAATCACAGCCATGTACGTATGTCCTGTAAGGACATATATTTTATATAAAAGGCCTGAATGGGAATTACAGAAATACTGGTTACAAACATAATG